ATTATTTTCTGTTTATTGGTATTTTTAAAATAGATTTTCTCTCTCTCTCTCTCTCTCTCTCTCTCTCTCTCTCTCTCTCTCTCTCTCTCTCTCTGCTTTAGAGTTGCAGATAAGGAAGTAGAATGTCACTGGATCCTGCGTCCAGTCTCCCTTTCCTTCTGATTAACGTATGGGAATGGGTTTCATGCTTTTAGGAATTAGGGACTGAGATGAGAGAATTTTCATATCTATCGCATCAACCAAGGATAACTGCAGACTGTATGCAGCGTGCACTCGACGGGCACTAGGGATAACTGTAGCCAGTGGAGTCACCCAGGACCACTGTAGTCCAGTGGATCCTGGATTCTGCTGTCACTCAGACATAACAGTTGTCCAAGGACAGGGTATGGACTAAAGTTGAGTCTATGGAATCTGGCAACACTGTGTGATCAAGCAGAGAGCTTGAACATGGGTCACAAATGGGGACAAGTTTAGGCAATAGTGTGCTTCAAAGGAACTTTATATCAAAGAGTCAACACAATCCTGACACATGAACTTATTCCAGCAAATTGACAATTTTGTCAGGAGAACTGAACACATACTTCTCAGAAGAAGAAATACAAATGGCCAAGAAATACATAAAAAAATGTTCAACAACATTCGTTATCACAGAAATGCAAATCAAAACTACATAGAGATTTCCTTTCACTCCAATCACAACGACAATCATCAAGAACACAAATAGTACATGCTGGGGAGGATGTGGGGGGAAGGGGACACTCATCCATGGTGGACATGCAAATTAGTACAAACACTCTGGAAATTGGTATGAATGTACCCACAAAAGCTTCAAATAAAAACCCCATGTGACCCAGCTATCCCACTCCTTGGTATTTACACATCTCTAAAGTCAAACATTATAGTGATGCAGCACATCAATGAATATAATAGCATAATTCACAAGAACAAAGATGTGGAAATAGCACAGCTACCCATCAATAGGTGCATGGATTAAAAATCATGGTGTGTATACACAGTTGACAGTTACTAATTTATAAGGAAGAACAAAATTATGGCATTTGGCAGTAAAACTATGGAATTGGTGAACATCATGCTGACTTAAACAAACCAGGCTCAGAAAGCATACAGGTAGATGTTGTTGCTTATATCCAGAATCTAGAGTAAAGTAAGAGGGAAAATCAGGTGGGGGGTCTGATATCATAAAGATGGAGGTAAGCTCAGAGGACTAGAAGGAGACCCAGGGAGTAGGGAGATGGATGGGAAAGGTAAGGAAATGCAGAAGAAATTAACAAATTTATGCTGTGTGCAATATAAATAGATCACAGTGGATTCCTCCTTAATGCATATCTATAAAGCATAAATAAATAAATACTAGCAGTTAAATAAATAAATA